TCCACAGGTGGCGGGCAGCGAGGTTCCTGCCGCGGGGAGGCCGGGGGGCCAGAGCCGAGTGGGGCCACGGGGCTGGACCGTCCCCTGTCGTTTTTCTGGAGCTTGCGGAGCTCCTGCCTCCGTCCCCGATCCGCCCTTCCTCGCCTCGTGGTTGTGACGAAGAACGCTCCTTAACTCGTTTAATTAAAAGCAAAAGAAAAGCGTGGTGCATGGCATGGGTTTTAGGGCAGGACAGGGCTGCGGGTGGTAGGTAGCTCACCGTTTTCCTTCACATGCCCGCTCTGGTCGTTCCGGAAGGTTGTGTAAGCTTCAGGGACGAGGCCTTCATCGCGGGGAGACTCGGAAGGCCTCCCGCAAATAGCCAGGTGCTGAGTGCGTGTCGGGCGCCCTGCTGGCCAGCTCCGCGTCGGGGAGAGCTAGAGGGAAGGTAGAGATCCTGGCCTTGAACGCAAGTGTAATGAGTGAAATTCTCCAACGAGGATGAACAAGGGGCGGGGAAAGCAGTGCTTGAACGTGAAAGACCCAATGCAAATGACCATGAAATGCTAAGGGACCCAGGAAGGTGGCTGGGGTCGAGGTGTGGAGGACGGGGTTGAGTTTCTAGGAAGTTTCACGGTGACGCTGGTACTTGATTTGCCGTGGAGCTCGATGCGTTCAACATTCAGACCGATTTTCCTGGATAACGGACTTCCGCGTTAACAGTGATTGAATTCTGCAAACATCAGTGACTGCTGTCCTTTTGAGAGGTTAAAAAAACAACAGCGTAGCCAGCTTTTGCCTGTAGAGGTGTCATTGTTGTCAGCTTTGAAACAATTTCAGGATGTTAGTGCGCAGAATTCAGTGGCTGTGGGGAAGAAGATCTAATTTCCTGGCTCGCGTAGGTTTTTGGAGTAAGGAGAGATTGTCTTCATCCTCCAATTCTCTAGGAGGCCTTGACTTAAGCCAGAAGAGGCTGTTCCTTCGGGAAGGGCTTGGCCTCTCTGGGAAAGCAGCCCTTTCTGATGAAATGAGTGGTAGTTGTCCCTCTCCGGGCCTGTTCTGAGCACGAACTCTGATACCTTTAGTTGATAGGTGAGCTAGCGGGGAAGTGTGGCTTCACGAAACGAAACGGGTTTAACGCTAGCAACGACTTTCTAATCTTTCTCCCGTGATGAAGTTTGGCATCTTTCGATTTTAAGTCAGTTCTATAGGTGAAGCCCATTTCCTGTTCTCCTTTCCACAGTGGAGAAGGCACCCTCCTCTGTTGCTCCTTCACAGTGTTTTCTTCTGTAATGTATTGCCTTGCGGTACCATGTAGATTGCGCGCTTTGTTTTTTTTTTTGACACAGTAATATTCTGAATAATTCCTTTTCTGTGTATTTAAATGGACTGGATACAAACACGAGGAATCAATGTCAGGATTACTTTGCTTCTGCTGGAGGTTCCACCCACCATTTGGGTTCTTTTTTTCCTCCCCCTTTACATACTTGAAATGGAGAGCATTATGATTCTTTAATTTGGAGAGATGAGGTAAATTACTGTTTGGAATTAACATTTTACTTGATTATGTTAAAAGGTAGGTTTTTATTTTTTTTTAAACTTTGTAATAGAGACATTTGTTTCTTGTTTTTTACAGTCAAATTTTTAGAAGTCATCAAACCTTTCTGTGCAGTTCTACCAGAAATTCAGAAGCCTGAAAGGAAAGTAAGTATAATATTTTAGTAACGAGGGTAGCAGAATGACTTACTCTGCTAAACCAACAAGACTGATTTACTTTTCCCAGTACTTTTTTGTCTGCAATTGCAAAAATATTACCTGCGCATCCTCCTTGGCACAGAATAAGTAAAAGAATCATTGGGCTAGGGATTTAGCTCAGTGGTGGTCTGCCTTCTGCCTTGTAAGCACAAGGTCTCAAGTTCTATCCCCAGTACCAAAAAGAAAAGAATTGTAGACCTGCTTAAGTCTACATAAGTTTCTTATGCTTCCCAAAATGATTGTTCTTTAAATTCTAATGTTTCCAAACTGAGTGTTTCTTTGGCTTGCCTGTTGGTGAAGATATGTATAGTATTCTGCAGGAGTCTACAGTGATTTTTATAATTTTTGTAGTGTAGGGTAGGATATTGTGCTTTGTTGTACTACGAATGGCCCAGTCTGCTGGGTAGTTTTGATGAATTCAGCTGTTTGATGCAAATGAATTCTGATTGTGTGAGTCCTAGCATGTATGGATTCAGTCACTGGAAAGAAAAATGACTGGAACGCAGTGGATGGTCATGTTAACTGCGTTAGCAGTACTAGGGGCAAAGAAAGAAATGGGTAAAACACATATTAAACTTAGTATTTTATTTAGAGTTTTTAAAAAATGATTTGAAGTGGTAAAAATAGTTCATTCCAGTTATATTAAAGGCATCCCAGGAAACTCTAACTTCTTGTTTAGGAAATATATTAGACTGCCTATATAGTATTATAAAGCTGTGTAATGGTATAGGCATCCTAGATGTGCCTGAGACATTGTTAACTGAGACCCATACGTGTCTTGCTTTGCCTCCTTTTCAGTTTTATTAACCGTGGTACAGTGCACGTGAAGGCTGCCTGCATTTAAATTACCTTTCTTTCTGAAAACTACAGACATGTTTGAGAAGTTCAGCTGTTGCAGACCACATTTAAATTGTGGGTAACAGAACATGTCATGATGGGGAGTGGTGGTTACGCTTTGAGGAGGATTTTTGCTTTACATGTGTGTTTCTTGGTTTGGATTGATTGTTCTTCGTATTTTGTTGTACAGATTCAGTTTAGAGAGAAGGTATTATGGACTGCGATAACTCTCTTCATTTTCTTAGTATGTTGTCAGGTACGTAACTAATATCTGTACTGCCGTAAGATCTTGATGAGTTAGAATTTGAGAAGCATATTTTAGTTAAAATGATACATGCACTGAAATATATTAAGCTTTGCTATTCTTTTTAATTTGATTATTTTATTGGGCTTACTGGAGATTGAAGCAGCATCTTGCCCAAGTGAGGCAAAAGCCCTACGGCAAAAGCTCTCTACCCCTGAGCTGTTCCTCAAGCTCTGATCTGAATTATTTTGATAGTAAAAGTGGTTATCTTCTTTGTATATTTGTATTGGTTATCTAATAATTTTGAACATTTTCCCCATTTTCTGTTTCTGTTTTTAGTAGATGGTCTCTGCCCCTTTTTTTCCTCAATATATTTAATTTTTTTTTCTTACTGCTTTAGTATAATTTTGTTCTTGTTTTTCTGGTACTGAAGATTTAACCTCGGACCTTAACACTAACGCACATCCCCAGGCCTTGTTTTAGTTTTTATTTTGAGACAGGATCATGCCAGGTCCTTAAAACTACCTAGGCTGAGCTTATGACTCTCCTCCTTCAACCTCCCTGGTATTGCAGGCATGCGTGCACCATCATGCATGGTTTAAGATAGTTTTTTTATTATATGAAAGCAACTTACATATTGCTAGTATTTTTCTAGTTTGCCTTTTATAATGTGAATAGCACATATTCATTTAAATATCCCTAAAAATAAGGTTTTAACACCTCAGTGACATACTTTGTTTAAAAATTAGTAAGATCCAGGCTACAGCCCAGCAGTAGACCCCGTACTCAAGGGTTGGAGCAAAATTCCTAATGCTGTTAAAAAAAATTAGTAAAATCCAATGATATTTTTGAATTTCATACATAAAAGTACAAAACTGTGATATTCATTGAAGTATTTTAAAATAATTTTCAGAGGGATTAAGTACATAAAATGAGGATAAAATGTGTTCTGCATATGTCACATGGTTGTAAGGATTAAAGATGATTTAGGGCACATTTTTTGAGGATTTTTAAAAGTTACTAAGATAGGTATAAGGTACTTTTAACAAATTGTGTTAGCAGAACAGACTAGGTTCTTAGTCTGTAGAAAAGCCAAATATTTTCTTTTTGAAGGATGAAATGAGGTCATTAAGGTGCTTCATTTAAATTTGTTTTGGGTAGCCATGAATAGAGAAGTCTTAAAAATTATAAAAAAGTACAAAGCAAAAAAGAACCTCTACTGTTTACTTTTGACATCTTGGAAAGCCACTTTGAGGAGGTGTGATGTGTGTGAAAGAATATCCATTTTAAAAAGTATATATTTTGAAGAGTTTTGACCAACAGGTATGCCCACAAACTACTTATTGATACCTAAATAGATGTAGAATGTTTTTATTACCCCAAAAATTAGTGAAGAAAAAAAGTACTTAATTTAAATTAAAAGCTTCTGTTCTGAAGTCATTGTTTGGAAAATGTAGGGCAAGCCACAGACCAGAAGTGACTCACAAAACCTACATCTGATGAAGGGCTTGCATCTGGGAAATAATAAAAATATTTGTAATTCAACAAATTAAAGAATCCATTTTAAACATAATGGAATTTTTATAAAGAGTAAACTAGAATTTGTTGTTTGGCCATGTTGGGCCAGATCCCCCGTCCCAGACAATACTTATCTGGTTTCTGTCCCTAATTGATTGGTCTTTTCTAGAATTTCATATAAATGGAATCATGCAGTATTACTCTTTAGTGTCTGATTTTATCATAGTTTTGATATTCATCTGTATTGTTAGTAATCAGTGATGACATCAGTAACTCATTTTTATTTTTGAGTAGCGTCCTGCTGCATGGATCAGTCACAGTTCATCCCGTGTTGAATGTTTGACCATAATAAAGTCGCTCTGAACATATGTGTGCAAGTTTTTCTGTTGACAGTTGTGTGATAAAAACATGTTCAACTGTATAAAAATTTGCCAGCTCTTTTCCAAGTGGTTGTTCTGTCTTACCTCTCCAGCAGCTGTGTGTCGGGCGTCCACTTGCTCTGCACCCTTCTCTCCTCTTGGTATTGGTCATTTTAATAGTAGTGCTAATGAGTTTGTTTGCATTTGAATTTCTTTAATAAATGATGTTGAAATTTTAATTTGCATTACCCTGACAATTTGCTGATACACTGGTACCTCGGTTCAACTCAGTTTTCTCTACAATTGTTGTCATAAACTGACCTGGATGAGAAGAGCCAAATCTTATTTCCCCCTAAGGTCAACATTGAACCTAACCATTGAATATGTTTCATTTCTCGTCCAACTTGGTCTGTGACCAGAATTGTGGGAGGAATTAAGTTCATGAACTGAAGTACCACTGTTACGGTAGAGTGGGGCAGAATAGTCCAGGTTTTGGTGCGTAACAAGGAATTGCCAAGCATATACTTCATAGCAAGTAGCTACATTTATTGATGATCATGGGATGGTAACAGGAACAGGCAGAAGGAAGAGGAACTCTCCAAGAGCCTAGGAACAGGAACCGGAATCCAGGAAGAGAAGGAACTCTCCCAGAGCTCCCATAGGACGCAGGCTTCCAGTGTTTAAAGGGTCAGACTCCTCTGGCTCCAGGTTCCTCCCATTCCATTTCTCACTGTTGTCAAAGCTAACGATCTGCTGCCTTGGGCATCACAACTTCCTAAGCTTAAACGTGGAAAATCACCAGTGCCCACAGCTGAGTGAAGGGAAAGGAGTGGCCCATTCAGGTTCCCTGTTTCTGACTGTACCACACTGTGTGGGCCAGAGGCAGAAATTCTGTCGTGCATATCCCTGCACCTTGCCGTCCTGACTTGGACATTTCATTTTATTTTCAGTTCCCAGTGCTTTTTGAAAACTTTTGTGCTAATTTTCTGTTTCTCCATCTGATCAGTTCAGGTTTCCATTAGAACATGGAGTAGTTTGTTTCTCCAAAAGACTCTGCTGTATTTTATCAGGTTTGTAAAAAGAAAAACTTGACAAACAACAAGGGTTTATTTAAGCATGAAAAGGATCATTAATCTGGCAGCACTAGACTTCAGAACCTCTGAAGAGGCTCAGAGCTCTGCTCTGGAGGCATCGGCCTTGGCTTTTATAGGTGGACTGTGGGGTACGGGACCTGGGTCTGCTGGCTGCTTGCCCAGTGTTGGTACAATCTAGTGGGAGGTCTCTACATAGCCATTGGCTGATGGGCTTTCTTGGTTGGCTGAAGCGAGATTCAAAATTAGTCCTTCCTGAAGTTTCCTGTGCATCCAGAAAGAAACCCAGCCTAACGGCCTTCTGCTTAAATTTCCTTCACTTGTTGAAAGGGCAGTATGTATGACATTGCCACCCTATGACAGATTCATAGGAGACAGCTCCTGTCGCTGCCCAAGTGTCATGAGCCCGCAGCTATAGGATTTAGGGAGAAATAAAACTGGAGCCAATTTTAATAATCCTGCGGACTATAAGAAAAGACGGCATGCCGTTATGTAGGGCAAGTTGGGGCTCTTGTTCACTTTCCCACACAACAGCTAGCCATGAAGTAATGGCTGCCTCTTAAGGAAGTCAGACCAGGTAACTTCTTTTTCACTTAGACTATATCCTAGTGTTGATTGGTTGTTACACTGCAACTTCTTTCTCGTTGCTGCTCACCTTGACTGAACAGTGTCTGTAGCTTCCCCGTTATATTTAAAGAATGTATGCTTCATGCTTCATCACTTTTGTCACCTAGGTAACATTCAGACATTCAAACAGGTTTAGTTGTGTAAGATCGCTGGGCTGGGTGCAATAGCACTGTGCCTGTCATCCAGCCACTCTGGAAGTCGAGGCACAAGGACCTAGATGAAGCCCATGAGTTCGAGATCAGCTTGCATAACCTAGGGAGACCTCCACCTCAAGAAAATAAATACAATTGCTGGTAGCAACTTTTGGAATTTTTTTTTTTAAGTTTCATGTGGAGAAATTTTTGGAAAGCAGTAATGGTTTTCTTTGTGCCTAGTGTTCACGTGGATGAGGAGGAGACATGACTGAGTGCTACACCCTAAACATGGGGCATATAATAGGCTGCAATCTGAAGTTCAGGTGTGGTGGTCTCCTTCGTAAAGAATAAGTGCTCATTGGAGAATAGTTGATATGTCCTGAAAATAATGTCATTCATAATCCCACCACCCAGGGATAATAGCCTTAGTCTTCTTTCCTGTACCTACTTCTACAGTGTTGAAGTTTCTTTTCTTCTTTCTTTTTTTTTTTTTTTTTTTTTGGTAGGGCAGGAGGTGGATCCCAGGGCCTCGGCATGCTAGGCAGATGCTCTGTAACAACTACAACCCCAGCCCCTAGTGCTGAACTTTTTAAAAGATTGTACAATTTTGTGTCTTTATATATTTACTTCCTTTTGCAGTGCTGGGGCTTGACCCCAGGACCTTGCACATGATAGGCAAACCCTCTACCACTGAGTTACCCCAGCCTCTGCACCTGTGTTCTTATACTGGGTTTCTTAACTGTGGCACTGTTGACTTTTAGGCACTTTAGGAATTTATTCTTGTTACAGGGTGTGGGGTGCTATACTGTGCACTGTAGGATGCTCAGCACCTTGGCCTCCATTTACTACATCCAAGAGCGTTGTCTCCACCGAGCTGTGACAACCACAGGTGACAATTAGAGGGCCAGGTGTCCCCTGGAAGGCCAAAGCACCACAGATTGAGAACTGGTTTATACGTAATATTATAACATAAGCTCTTTCTTATGTCATTCCAGATTTCATAAATTTTGTTGGCTGAATGTATTTTATTGTATATTTCTTCTGTCTATGGGTTTGATCTTGGATGATCAGTACCTGTAGCTTTGCACAACTATTCTGTGACTAGGCGGATATCTGTGCTGCGATGGGATATTTCTTTCTCAATTATGATAAAAAACAAAAAGATTTACCATCTTAACTGCCTGTAGATGTGTCATTTAGTAGTGTTAGGTATGTCTGCATTGCTGTACACCAGTTCTCCATATTGTCAGGAGTATTTATTTACTTGTGCAACGTACCAAGTAATGATTTCTACCTTTAAAGAACTTAACTTTAAAATATGTTTGTTTTTGCTCTTGAACCTGAGACATTTTTTAAAATAAAGCATTGGAAACATTAAGGAATGGTTTACAAATTAAAGGTAAAGTTAATTTACATACTATATTTTTATGCAATATTTGTACGATATTTTAGATTCCACTGTTTGGAATCATGTCATCAGATTCTGCAGATCCTTTCTACTGGATGAGAGTCATTCTTGCGTCCAACAGAGGTGTGTACTACTTTTCTTTTTGTCTCTATAACACTATTGATATCGAAGAGATATAAGTAATGTGGATTAATAAGTTTTTTTTTTTTTTTTGGTACTGGGCATCGAACTCAGGGCCTTGCACTTGCCAGACAGGCGTGGTGCCGCTGAGCTGCATACTCGGCCGTAACAAGTATTTTTTGATGTGTCCAGAGAGGGAGAGAACAGAAGAAGAGCCCAGTGCATATAAGAAACCCAACATGTCCATGGTGACAGTGCTGTGTGTTTATTATAATAGCAGACAGAGAAATCTGCCTTTGGATTTTTCAGTCTAGAGCCTCCTGTTTAGTTGGCATGATGACGTACTTGAAGTAGAGTTTAATATTTGGGGCAGGGAGACAGGAAAGCCTGAGCTAGCCCCACAGCTGTAGGACAGAAGTGGTGGGTGGGCAGGGCAAGCTGGTAAGTGAGGCGACAGGAAGGCAGGGGCCGCTGCATTTCAGGAATCATAACTGCCTGTTATTTGGAGATGTTTTAAATACCTGACAGGTATTTTTTAATAATCTTTTTTTAGGTTATAAAAATAATATGTGTTTATTTTTAAGGTGCACCAGAATTGATACACAGATTTATGTTCATCTGAAAACAAAACTCTCACTTCTGAACAGGAGCTTCCAGGAAATTGAAAGATTGGCAGATTCTTTTGCATGTCCCTTAACATAGGAAAATCTAAATACTTACAAAACACTATATGCTGGGTTGCTATTTGGTTTGTTTATTTAATGTCTCAGATGAGTACTTTTATTCAGTAGCTATATCCTGTGCGATTTACAAGAATGGGCTATGATTTCATTACTCATTTAACTCGTTTTGCTGTGTGCCAAGCTCTGTGCTCGGTGCTGGGAGGAGAGTAGTAAATGAGACTCACCGGGAAGCTTTATTCTTTCCAGATCATGAGCCTGCTCGCTCCCGTTTCCGTAGTCCCTTCTAGCACGTTAGTTGGCCATATCCATTATGTTTCCTGTGTCTTGAGCATTTGTCCGGTGTCAGTCACAGGTAACAAGTTGAGTGTCAATGTCTGAATGGCCAGGCCCTTGCCAGTGTCCACTTATCCCCTCTTCTCTGCTGACTGAAGTACCATATTTCCTGCATCCAATTTTCATTAAAGCTTGTTTGGCTCTATTTCTGGACTAGATCTATTTTACAGTTACAAATTTTAATTGGTTAACTTTTAAGAGAAATCTGTGCTGAATGGCTGTTAAAGTAAAAACCGTTTTATCTTTCATTATTGAAGAAGTACAGTGGTACCTCAGTTCACACACACTTTTGTTTGTAAACACTTTGGTTCACAAACAGAAGCATTTTGTAAAATTCTGTTTCTGTTTTTTTTTTTAAATTAATTAATTAATTTTTTTGTTTCTGTTTTCAAACTCTGCATTGGGTGATGAACATGACCAAGGCCCTCTTTCCCACACGAACACAAACATGGCCATCTTTTCCAGAATCGTGGGGCAGATTAAGTTCATGAGCCACTGTATTTGAAAAAATATCAAGAATAACTTAAAAATGGTGTATTTTCTCAATAAAGGGGCCCTTTTCAGCATTTATAAAACTCAGGATTTAAGGGAAACATACTCATAGCTGGGTGTGGTGGTACACACCTATAACCCCAGCATTCGGGAGGCTGAGGCAGAAGGCTCACTATGAGTTTGAGGCCAAGCTGGGCTATGTATTGGGTTCAAGCCTAGTTTGGAACATAAAGCAAGATCCTGTCTCAAAAACCAAACAAATAAAAAAAAAAAAAAAAAGGGAAACATACTCTTGACCCTGTTGAATTACTGTATGTCCCTGTAAATGGCAGATTTGGTTTTCTTATTTTTCACTTTAAATGTGATGTGTGCCTTCTATGAGGAAAAGCTTAGAAGATACAAGGGAAAAATCCTCTGCAATCCCACTGGGTAAAATAGCAGTTAACATCTTAATGACCAGATGGAATATCAGGAAACTCCTTTACTACTCAGGTAGTAAATTGAATCAAACTATTAATACTGTTTTCTAATATATTTTTGGGGCCTACTATGTTATGAACACTGTTCATGTTACTAAACATGTACATGGGTTTAGGTGACTTCCTGTGTAATTTAATTTTTGCATTAGAAGAATTAAAATATGCTTGAAAGTTATTCATTTGATATGTAGTTTTTTGGCTTATTCCGTAATTTTTATTTTGCATTAAAGATAAAACCGTTAGAGAAAGATTTCAAAATTATTCGCACAGGAATCTTTGAAGCGTTCTTTTCTTTTCTGTCTTTTCTTCTTTTTTCTGGAGTTGGGGATCAAACCCAGAGCCTTACACGTTAGGCAAACACACCACTGAGCCAAACCCCTGGCCCTTTATTTCACTTAAGTTTTGAAATTTGTCTTTTCTGGTGCTGGAGACTGGACCCAGGCCACCGCATGTGTTGAACATGTGCTGTGCTCCAGAATGCTTCGTCCCCTTTGCCTGAACTGGGTCTTTGTTGCCCAGTCTGTCCTTGAACTTGCTACACTCCTGCCTCAGCCTCCTGACTAGGGAGGATTGTAGGCATGTGCTGCTGTTCCTAGCTCAGAAGGTTTGTTTGTTTTCGGTACCGGGGATCGAACTCAGGACCTTGAACTTGCTAGGCAGGTGCAGTGCTACTGAGCTATATCTCAAGTCCTTAGAAGGTTTCTTTTAAAAAGTATTCTTTTTTAAGCATTTTATGGTTAGAACTTAACAGAAATGTACAGTTCCGTAGTATTTATAATACTTTTTACTCGGTGCTGTTTTGCAGGGTTGTATTGATGAGAGCTTGTTTCGCAGTTAATGTTTAAGGAATAAAAATGTGTTTCACATTGAAACGTGTAGTAAATGTCACTTAGGACAGACATTCTAAATTAATGTGCATCGTGGACAATGAAGACCATTCATTTTCCCCTTCCTTCACAGGAACATTAATGGAACTGGGCATCTCTCCAATTGTAACATCCGGTTTGATTATGCAGCTCTTAGCTGGAGCCAAAATCATTGAAGTTGGAGACACCCCCAAAGACAGAGCTCTGTTCAATGGAGCCCAGAAACGTGAGCATTAGTACAATTAAAGAGCTTTATCCAAATTTGAGAATGTTTGTGGTAAAGATGCTTCCTATGGTCTTTTTTTCTGTCGTTGGTTGTAAGCATGTACTCCTTTTCCCTCCCGATTTCTGTCAGTATTTGGTATGATCATTACCATTGGGCAAGCCATTGTGTATGTCATGACGGGGATGTACGGGGACCCTGCGGAAATGGGTGCTGGGATCTGTCTCCTTATCATTTTTCAGGTAAGAAATCCTATATTTTCCTATGCAGATAATAAAACAGTTTGCTCCTTTCTTTTTTTCCTACCAGTTCTTTGGATTGTTGTTATTTATTTTCTTACTTTTGAATTATTTATAATATTATAATTACTGGAGTGATTTGTACAAATTATAATAATGTAAAAATTTAAATTTATTCTATATGTAGAATATATATGTAGAACTTATATAGTTGTGCTGTATAATTATGCATCAGCCATATTTCATCAGTTGTAATATACGCATTTTTTCCTCCACATTTTGATGTCTCTAAAATCAGAACGTTTCCTGCACTCATTGGTGCCTTACAGTGCTGTTAGCCGGTGGCATTCGCTGCCCTGCATGTCGTCTTGGCTGTTGTTGCTCAAGTCGGTCCTACTTCAGTTGGTTATATGCACTGCTGGTCTAACAAGGGTTCGAGCTCAGTTGCTGACTGAAGTGTCTTTTGAAAATTTATGGTGATTTATTATTAAGTGAAAATTGCATGTACAGAAAGTCACAGAAGCCCAGGGTGGTGACACACGCCTGTAATCCCAGCACTTGGGAGCCGAGGCCAGCCTGGAATACACGATGAGACCCTGACTCAAAAAAAAAAAAAAAACAAACCAAAAAAACCCCACCAAAACAAACCAAAGTCACAAACAGCTAGATGATAAATACCTATATCTAAGTCTAGAATTCCATTTTTAAAAAAGCAGAGCACTTTGTGATGAGATATTGTGTCACAGGTTATAGTATTCTCTTAGTGGTACCCAAAATAATGGTGTTCAGTTTGAGATACTGTTTCATCTTTTATTGTTTTTTCCATTATTGGAGGTCAAAACCCAGGGGTTCTCTACAACTCACTGAGCTATGCTCCCAACCTCTTTAATTTTTTGAGATACTCACTGAATTGCCTAGGTTGGCCTCGCACATGCAGACCTCTTGCCTCTGCCTCCTGAGTAGCTGAGATTACAGGTGTGCACCACCATACCTGCCATGGTGCTTGAAGTGTAATGTGTTAGTGGCAGTGACATAACATATGTACATACGTTCATACATGTATATGTATATAGCAGTACCTCAGTTCAAGAACTCAATTCTCTCTACAGTTCTGATTGCAAGCGAAACTGGATGAGAACCAAATCAAATTTCCCCATAAGGTCAACATTGAACCTGACCATTGAATTTGATTCAGTTCTCATCCACCTTGGTTTGCAACCAGAACTGTGAAATCAGGTTCATGAACCAAGCTACCGCTATAACCTTAAATAGGCTAATACACATTGAGAGATATGACTACCTCAGACTGATAATGCTGACTTTTTTTTTTTTAAATAAGTCTTACCTAGGAAGCAAATCAAGTAAGATTGTCTAGTGAGCATGATTCAGAACAAGGAGAGTGAGATTGTTCAAGTATTTCCTGGCAATAGGGATTACTTTTCTAATAAGAAAACTATTTTTTCTCTGACTAGGGCAAGACTTTTAATAGATTATTGGGGGTCTTTGGTACTCTCTGAGATCCTTTGTTCTTCTATTTCATGTAAGATACAGTTCCACCATGTCTGTGGCAAATTTACGGCCATTGAAAATAGCAGGGAGGGGATATAGAGGACAGGAAGAGGAGGTACTCTGGGGACTGAATTTATAGTGTTCCGGACTTCTTCATAGGTTGGCCTAGGCCATGTGTCACCTTATTTACTTATTTATTCATTTTTTCTATATAGCATTTGCTTTATGGAACCTGTGGAAATGGAATGACCCTGACCTTTTTTTTTGGTGCAGGGGATTGAACCCAGGGCTCCAAGAATGCTTAGCACACAGTCTACTACTGAGCTATTCCCCCCGCCCAGCATAACCCTGATTTTTAAAAGACATTCAGAACTAGCTTTTAATCCTTAGAACATTATACATCCATCAGGTAGCTCTAGTGCCTTCCTAACAATATTACTTAGATCATCAGGAACCTGACCTAAGGAATTCTGGGTTAGTTAGATACAGAGTAACCTCTTACAGAGTCAATTAAACATTGAAATTGCTATAAAAGGAAGGTAAGCCATTCTGATGTCTGGGTATCCAGAAATCGAAGAATAGTTATATTTCAAGAATGAAACAGGCCAAGTGAATATGTAATGATTTATTTTACATAAATTCTAAATTCTTGCACGGCAGTATTTGTGTTGTGGTTAATTCTAGTGTTAATGCATACAGAAATGTTATGTATGTTCGATCTTCAGTGGGCAGTGGCCCATTTGTATCCTTCATATTGAAAATATGGGTGTACACTGAAATGCCAGGATGGTATCAGTGTGTTTCCCCTAGAAATACAGGTTTTTAAAATTGTTTGCATGTGTTGTGGAAAGTATTTCTGACCTTATTTGTTGTCTCATTCACATGGTCAGTGTTTTTCCAGGAGTGGGTTTTGAAATCTAAGTAATGGGTCTTGATTAAAATTGTAAATAAAGAAAATACAGTATGCATGGCACACAGTAAAGGTGAGTACGCTTCCCCGGACTTGGCGGCATGTGCGCGCACACACAGGGTTGGAAAGTCAAGTGCAGTTGTGAGCCTGGTTCAGAGGTTCAGCCTGCCACGTCCCCCACGCACATGCAGTGACCTTTTGTGCTCACTGTGCTCGTCCAAGGATGCTGCTGTCACTTCTGGCCTCATCCCTTTTCACTAACGTGTGTAATTTTTGCCGTCTTTTGTCTTACTCCTTTAATCATAGAAACCATTTCTCATTTAGATTTCTCGGCAGTCCTTTCTTGCAGTGGAAAAAAATGAATCAAATATCGATAAGATAGAAAAGAGCCACACTGTATTTTGAACAATACTATTTTGAACAGGGGTCTGGAGAATTCCACTTGTTTTTTTTTTGTACTGGAGATTGAACTCGGGACCTTGTGCCTGCGAGACAGGCGGTAGAACCACTGAGCTAAACCCGCAGCCCTCCAGTTGTTTCAGAGGTGCTGTGACCTTGGCCAGGTCATTTACCAGAGCTGGTGGCAGTGCATGTCGGCTGGCTGCTGGCCAGCACCTGCAGAGGTGTGGGCTGCTGTGTGTGATAGGGAGCGCTCACTCCGTCCCTGTTAGAGGCATAGTAAAAACTAGCCGTCCTGACTTCTCCTTTGTTTTGTTAAGACGTCAAACTTGGTTTTCACACAGGAAAGGGTCAGCATGTTTTCTCCTACAAGTTCTGAGAATTGTACCTATTTTCCAGTTCATTGAAAGTCAAACTAAAGAATAAGTAGACAAGTTAGGCTTTGAACAACCACTGAAATGGCAGTTAAGGAAAACAGCAACACTGTAAGGTAAGCATGCTGCAACGGTATCCCAGTTTGATCTCTCTTCTGACAGTGAAGGATGAAGTAAGTTAGAGGTGAGAGGTGGAAGGAACGGAAGTGACTTTCCCACGGCTGTAAGGTGGGGAGCTACGGGGTTGAAGGCACAGAAGCACATTTTCTTCCTCTCCCTAACAGACCGTTTAAGTCGGGAAGGATCATGCAGCTGAGGAAGTCACTTGCAAAGCAGCAGTTTATTAATCAGTGCATGCTTTTACAGAAATATCTTCTCCAAGAAGAAAAGTAAGAATGTTTAGTATCACAGAATCGTAGTATGCTTGTTTTGTTAAAAAAGATTACGAGCTTAACCCAGTGAACTCTCAACTCTCTTCAAATTTATATTCAGTCTTTGTCACTATAGAATGTATTTTTACAATGGTTATAACCTATGTTCATATTTGTGCTGTAATTTTCTACATACTGTACATATTACATGTATAAATATGTAATATATAAAATGTAACATATATTTCTTTTTGTATTTGATTTTTTAAAATGATAGTCTTGTTATGTAATTCAGGCTGGCCTTGGACTCACTGTGTAGCCCAGGCTAGCCTCCCACTCATGGCAGTCCTCCTGCCTCAGCCTCCTGAGTGCTGGGATTACCAGCATGCGCCACCATGCCTGGCTTATAGCCCTTTTTAAAAAGTAGCAACATAATCCTCATACTTAGCCTTTAATGGCATTCTGCAATTGAATCTTGTTATTCTAGCACTTATTTAGCCTTCTAGTTACTTCAAGGTATTTGCAATGCTTTCAGTTTCTCACTGTCAAGTTCTACGCTTGTTTTGTTTTAGTTTTTATTCAAGTAGGCCCTATTTAAACAATGCAAGGGAAACTCTTCCGATGGTATACTTTAAAGGTTGAAATGTCTTTTTATAATGTGACAGTATTTCTAATCCTGATTTTCAGAATTGGCTTCTGACTTAACTAAAACAAGTCGCCAGCTTCCAGCAGTCATAATAGTGATGTGACAATAATTAGGTTTGATACTGAAAGTGCCCTTGCTTTGAAATAACTCATGGTGTTCCTCTCTCCCTTTTCTTGAGTTTATTCTTGCTTCTGCTTACGTGCGTTTCTTTCCCCACAGTTGTTTGTTGCTGGTTTGATTGTGCTGCTGTTAGATGAGCTGCTACAGAAGGGTTACGGCTTGGGGTCTGGTATTTCCCTCTTTATTGCCACCAACATCTGTGAAACCATTGTCTGGAAGGCCTTTAGTCCCACTACCATTAACACGGGCAGAGGTACAGTGCGCAGTGACTGCACCTGCACGCGTTTGCTGGATTTGTGCTGAAGCGAGTCTGTAGTGTAGCAGGACTTGCCTGCAGCCTTTGTTTGCCACCGCACGGGACAGCACATGCTGGCTGTTCAGGCTCAGTACGCAGAGATGTGTGGAGCAGGCATGCTATTTCCAAAGGCGTAATGTCCAAGCTTTTGCCTCTGCTTATTTAAAATTTCACTGGTTGCAAACAGACTTTAAGAATTTTGTCTGTTGCCCTTGCTTAAGCCATTGCTGCACAAGTCATTTATCTGACTGATGGAACAGTCCCAAGAGGGTGAGAAGGTAGTGGGTTAAGATTTCTCTAAAGAAAAAACTGTTGTTCATTGTACCCTCAGGGAGTATTCATACCTTGGCTTCTCAGGCTGGCTTTGTAAGAGCATCTAAGCTTTGAGAAGATGTCATTCTGTCTTTCCCCTTTATCTTTCTCCACTTCTCAACTGCTATCTACTTTAGCAGATTAACATCTAAACTCTGGTCCCAGCCATAAGAAAATATGGTTTATTAATGTTCTTGGTACAGTAAACTTAAAAGCAAGCTTGATAGTAAAATATATTCTCTGACATTTTTATTCTGCTTTGCTGCTGTTTTTTTATTTTTTCCCAAAATACTCTCTCCTTTTCCTAAAATGTAGAGGAGAGGTAAATCTTTATGAATAAAACATTTTCTTTGGTAGATTCTCCTTTGGATGTTTTCATCAAGAATTGTCACTTGAGAAAACTTCAGATTTATGCTGAAGAGATAGATTTGCCTCGGTGATTTTTAGAAGCTGCACACATGGCTGCATTGTAAAGCAAACATTGATGAATTCTTTTGGCTTGGGTTTCAGGTTATTTGCTTTACCTTTGAGGTAATTTGGAAGAGTGTCTACAGCTCATTGCTGTCTTGATTTTTCAGGTACCGAGTTTGAGGGTGCTGTCATAGCTCTGTTCCACTTGTTGGCCACCAGGACAGACAAAGTCCGAGCCTTAAGGGAGGCTTTTTATCGACAGAACTTACCCAACCTCATGAACCTCATTGCTACAGTTTTTGTGTTTGCGGTGGTTATATATTTTCAGGTAAGTATAATCTCTGCACTTAGTGAATAGGGATGTGGATTTTTACTTTGCTCTTAGACAAGAAAATATCATTTGAAATGTTAGTGTCTTACAAGTCCATTCAAGATCCAGTCAAGCAAATGATTTCATTCTTCATACTCTAATCTGACGGTGCCAAATATTGGGATATATAGGGAAGTTTGTGTTAGCATTTTTTGTATCCCATGCTGCTACTTGTTTTCCCTCAGTAGTCTGTGTTCTCCTCTAGGTATGTCCAGTCGTCTAATTTACCGTCGATTGTGTGTTTTAGGGGTTTCGTGTTGACTTGCCCATCAAGTCGGCCCGGTATCGAGGACAGTACAGTAGCTACCCCATCAAGCTCTTCTACACCTCGAATATTCCCATTATTCTTCAGTCTGCCCTCGTTTCAAACCTGTATGTTATTTCCCAGATGCTGTCTGTTCGATTTAGTGGCAACTTTTTAGTAAATTTGCTAGGACAGTGGGCCGTGAGTATTTTATTTCTATAAAGTATTTAAAATTATAATTTACATTTCATGGTTATATTTTTAACTGAGAAAGATATTGAAACAGTTGCTGTTTTTGTGTTTAGGTTGATATCAGAGTTTATCTGGAAGAATTACAAGTGTTGTAAAACTATGATTTAAATTATTTTTAGTATTTTATTAACATTTTCATATCGTTTGAACCCTTTTAGGATAATATCACAGCTGCTTTCATAAAAATGATTGTTTTTAATCTTATTCCTGTATTGTCTGTTTATAAAAAAATACTTGCTAAAGAAAAAAAAATCTCAGCTATTTTCAGATATTATATGGCAAAATAGTTATTATTTCCTATTTTGTCCATTTATTAATGGCTGGAATAATAGTAAACTAGCTTGTGATGAACTGGGGTGGAGAGAATGCGTGTAGTTAACAAGGCTGAAGAGAGCAAGAAGTAGAATCCAGTACTTCTGACTTCCTTTAGAGATTTTATCATGACTGCTAAAACAGTCCAATCGTGTTGCTTTGAAGTGTGAATTTTGAGTTTAAAATAGTACAATTTGACAAAGTAGTGTTTTTCTTTCTATGAGTTATAGAATTCTAGAAAGGCTAATTTCCTTTATTCTTTTGCAGAGTGATTCTAAAATTTGCATGCCACTAGAAATAGCATTTTTTAGTCAGTTTTGAAATATGCTGCTTATTCTGTGCTAGGCAAGCACTCTGTCACTGAACCGCATCCCCTGCTCTGTGCATTCATCTTTGTGTTATTCTTTGCATTATGAAACACAGTGACTCTTATCTTTCTGCTTTTATAGTAGGTATTTTTTTATCTTAAAGTTTATCTGAAAAGCAAGTAACTCTTGAATGTTAGTTCAAGAAGGTGATTTTTTAAAATCCACAATATTCCTTTTTCTATTAATTTAACAGAAATTGTACCATTTGACAATTCGATCATTTACAAAAGCTTTTACATTTTTCCTTCTGTTCATTTTTCCTTTTCCTTTCCTTCCTTCCCATTTCCTCCCTACTTCCCCTTCCCATTTGAACACTCTTATATTTCACAGTAAGACTAATTCTTATAATAATGTACAAACTACACAAAGTTTAGGCAATACGCTGTTCTTTGTCAGTATTTTGACTGCATTCTTAATATTTTCAAATCCAAAAGTCACGTAAGATAGATTACCTTCATGCATTGGATACCCTCATATAATTCAGAAAACTTCACATTCTAAATATGTGATCATATTCCTATCTTCTCTAGTTTATGCCTTCTTTAAAAATCGCTCTTCTCTTAAACGCTATGTGCAAAATGTATATAATACTCACTGTACAATTTTAAAGAAGTGAAGGTAGATTCAGATATTAACCCTTATATAGACTCATTGGCTGTATGTGTTTTAAACTTTTAAAACACTGTCATGTTTTTTGAGAAATGTGAACTCAAAAATGATTTCTAGGTGGGCATATCTTTTAAAACACTGTCATGTTTTTTGAGAAATGGGAACTCAAAAATGATTTCTAGGTTGGGCATATCTATATCTCAGTTACTTCAAAGGCTGAGGCAGGAGGCTTACTTGAGCCCTGGGAGTTTGGAATCAGTGTGGGCAAAATAGTGAGAGCTCATCTCAGAAAAAACAGCCTCTAGGTGTGGAGCGCAGGGAGTGGCTCAGTGGTAGAGTGAGTGCCCAGCACGGGCAAGGCGCTGGGTCTGATCTCCAGTGCCAAAGAAAGAAACCCTTGCCGGCCAGGTTGGCAACTTGACCCTCTGATCTTGTTCTCCAGGATGTCAGCGGTGGGGGACCTGCCCGTTCTTACCCCGTTGGAGGCCTGTGTTACTATCTTTCTCCTCCAGAGTCCATGGGTGCGATATTCGAGGATCCTGTCCATGTAGTTGTCTATATTATCTTCATGTTGGGGTCATGTGCATTTTTTTCTAAGACATGGATAGAGGTGTCTGGTTCCTCAGCCAAAGATGTAAGTATTTGGTTTACTTGGAAATAAGTTTTTAAGAGCTCATAATTTTTAGGTACCAAAATATTTGTACTTTTGAAATTTAAGCTTTGTTTAGTGCATTACATTCTTAAATAAGGCAGCATCACCTGCAGTAGGCTAAGAGTTGGTCCCGGAAAGGTGAAAAATCCTACTAAACCCAACAAGATCTCTTTCCTTAGTGTGTAATTTCTCCTTAGCGAGGTGGTGATGGAAAAAGAGGTTGAGAACACTGGCTTAATGTGTGATTAACATGTAGTGAGTGGCATCAAAGCCTCAGGTCCAGTGGGAAGGAGATGAGAATGTATTACTTCTGAGTATGCGCAAAGCACTTCGCATAGGACTTAGTTGAGTTAGTGACAGTTAAAAGTTTGATGTTCAGTTGTTTTTCTCTTGGCAGGTAGCCAAACAGCTTAAAGAACAGCAAATGGTAATGAGGGGCCACAGAGATACCTCCATGGTTCATGAGCTGAATAGGTAAGTCCTGGAGAATCGTTCCTTTTTAGGTGTATATACGTGTATCAAATTTTTGATTATCACTTTATTTGTTCAAATTCATATTTAAACCACATCTATACGAGAATCAAAATTTAAAACTTAATTGTTCTTCCCATCAAACTGACTACTGTGTCTTTAAATGAAACTGTATTCCTTTCACTGTGCAGCGCAGTGTTAAAGTGATTAGTATCCTCTGTGTTGGCTGGCTCCGCATAAAGTAACCAGGGCCCTTTCTAAAATACTACTGTCTTGTCTTTATTCCAGGCATCAGATCTTTGGCCATTGGTAACAGCTTTTTTTAAATGCAGTACACTCACTTGAGGTATACAGTTCAGTGTTTGTACTGCTTAAACCCAGGGCCTCTGCATCAGCTTTTTTTTGTTTTGTTTTTTTGAGACGGGGTCTCACTATGTAGTTCAGACTGATCTGGAACTCACTGTGTAGCCCAGGCTGGTCTCAAACTCACAGCGATCCTCCTGTCTCAGCCTCCCGAGTGCTGGGATTATAGGTGTGCGCCACCACGCCCGGCTTTTTATTTTTTAAGACAGTGTTGCCTCAGAGTACCCAGAGTGTGAACTTGTGATCCTCCTTCCTTAGTCTCCCAGAGTGCTGAGATTACTGGGGTATGTCACCATCCTCACTTTAAAAAAGAAAACATTTTTTCTTTTTCATTTGGAACTGCAGTTTCAGTCTAATTCTGGAACCATTTTCATCAGTCCGAAACCTTGTATGCACTAATTATTCTTCATCCCTACCAGCCCCAGGCAACTACTTTTTATTCTGGACAATTTATGTAATTTTTCCATAAATATATACGGTCTTTTATAAATGGTTCCTTTTGCTTTGCTCATTTTCACGGTTCATCCATTTTATACTATGTATCTACTCCATTCCTTTTTATTGTTGAGTAATAGTCCTTTATGTGGTTTTACTAGATTTTCTTTCCATTCATTATTCAGTGGAAATTCGAGTTGTTTCCACTTCTGGCTACTCTGAATCTTGCCACTGTGAATCACTTGTATAAATTTTTTGAGGATGCATGTTTTCATTTATGAGTAGAAATGTTAGGTCATGCAGTGACTGCTACCGTTTTTTTTTTTTTTTTTTTTTTTTTTTTTTTTTTTTTTTTTTTGGTACGGAGGCTTGAACTCCGGTCCTTGCGTGGCAGCACAGCTGAGCTAAATCCCCAGCCTGAGCCTGTTACCATTTTGAAGAACTGCTGAACTATTTTCCAGTGGCCATTTCCTTGCCAGCACGAGTTCTTGCCTTTTGACATAAGACCCTTTAGTGAATATGAAAAGGTTCATTTTGGTTTTGCTTTTTCCCTAATGATTTGAAACACCTTTTCATGTGTTCACTGGTTGTCTCCTTTGGAGAAATAGCTATTCAGACCCTTTGCTCATTTTTAATTGGGTTGTCCAAGAGTTGGGTTTTTTTTTTCCCAAATAGAAGTCTCACTAGATATGATTTTCAAATATTTTCTTCCATTCTGTTGGTGTCTTTTTACCTTCTTGATAATGTCTTCAAATATACGTTTTTAATTTTGATAACGCCCAATTTTACTTTTCCTTTGGTGCTGCTGTTGGTGTAATAGCTAAGAAAGCGTTGCCAGAACCAAGGTCTCTTTCCTCCTAGGAGTTTCAGCTGTTCCATTAGTCTGTGGCCAGTTAGCTGTTGTGTCTGTGAGGTGGGACCCACACTTGGTTATGCGGCGTGTGGCTATCCAGCTGCCCCACAGTTTGCGAAGGCACTAACTTCTGTGAACCTCTGCCTCCTTCAGAACATAGGCTGCAGAAGCCTCCAGGGTCAGAAATTACCATTCTGCTATTCTTACTTCACCTTCTATCTTCCCTAGTTTTTCTTTTATCCTTTCAGTATTAAATTTTAAAGTTTTCTACTTGAACTACTGTTGAAGAGGGTCATCAGAATTTCATGAATTTGTTGAAACTTAGCATTTTGAAATTTACTTTTCACTCCACAAGAGGAAACTAAAGTTTGTTTAAAAATAGGAAGTATTTTAACCCCTAAATCTTGGTCCAGGGTTCTGTCCTAGGAGTGGTGCTGCCTTTCTTGATCACACACTTTTCTTTTAAATCTCAGCCAGAAATTGCCTTGATCGCTTTCTTGTGGTCATCTCTTGTGTGCAGCCCGCCAGTACTCTTTCTTCTGACTGTTGTGCTTGTCCCCTAGGTACATCCCCACAGCGGCTGCCTTTGGCGGCCTGTGCATTGGAGCCCTGTCGGTGTTGGCAGACTTCCTTGGCGCTATTGGCTCTGGCACTGGGATCCTGCTTGCAGTCACTATTATTTATCAGTATTTTGAAATCTTTGTTAAGGAACAAGCTGAAGTTGGAGGGATGGGTGCTTTGTTTTTCTAAATGTTCAGATATTTCTTTTTGTGTGTGAAAGGGAAAATAATGACACATTGTTTTTTGTCAAATAATGCGGGTTCCCCTTTTCTCCCCAGTTTGTTTTCAAGTGCTAACTGTCCCATTTGTGAAATGGGCGCTGAGCTAAGCCTGTGTGCAGCTTTAGCACCAGCTGCCTTAAAACTAAAGTTTACATTATTCATTTAAAAATGTACATGGAGCATTGCCTGTGATGCTGGAAACCAGTGTATCTACCTTGCTGTGTTAAATCACGACAGTGAGACAGTGACATGGATCAGTTTGCACACAACATTCAGAACACTATATCCTTCCCTTGTTTAAAAATAAATGTAGTTCAAATTGCCATTTTGCAGTATTTTTGAGCTTACGTAATGAGTTCTGGAACATTTATATCTAATCTATATTTTAGATAATTTTTATACTTTTTTAACTCATAGTATCCATGTTCCCTTCCCTACCCTCCCTCCCTCTCCATCCCCACCCAGTCTTTATTTCTGTTTTCCCAAAGCAGCCACTTGGCCCATGGGCAAAATCAAGCATTGAAGTTTGCTGTTGCTAGAAATGATTGCTTCTAACTACTCTTCCTGTTTTTCATTCCTCCTTTCTTCCCAGGGACAGCATGACCTGTGCTGTTTGACTGTATTGGCTATGCCTTGTAATTCCAACCAGTCACTTGAGAATACTCTTTCAAGACACTGTGCCCCAATTCTTTTCTTTTTTTAATCCCTAAAGCAAAGATCGAATTCTCAAGCAATGTCTGTAGTTCATTGGGGGTGAACAATGAGTAATTCATGCTAGAAATTTGTCTTTTGTTGTACTTATGGCAGCAAGAAGTGTAAACAGTAGACAATAAACTTTTATTTAATAAAACTGTTGCAGTTGTGTTGGAAAAATAAAGGAATCTGATATTCAATGTTCTCTAAGATTATTTGTGTAAATTTCATTGTACTTACACAGAAACTTCTGAAAGAAGTCAAATGTATTCCTCAGTGTTTAATTATGAATCATCGAGAAACTGGCTAGCTTAAGAGCACTCACTGATGTTGCTGACATTTGGAAAGGAACTGGAAGACAGTGGTCTCAAAATAACATCCTAAGGGCTATTGTAATGGAGACCACAGTCTCCATTTGAAACTGCACAGTTCTTTGTAAATAATTCACTGTTTACTTCCCTCAGAAGGGCAAATTTAATTTTTAACATTTTCCTAAGTACATTTTGTTTAGTTATTTTCTTAGTTAAGGATAGGAAGTACGTCTTAACAGGGTCACAAAGCCAAAAGGGCACAGAGATAAAAGCAGAAGGATGGCAGCAGTCGTCACTGGTGTGTACCTCCCTGCTGCCTATGATTCCCAGTGTGAATTACGTCGTTTGCTTCAAAAGACAAACAAGGCTGTCTGCGGGAAACTTGGAATTTTTAAGTGCAGCAGTTTACAAGTGCTGGTCACTGAAAACATCCAAAATGCTGGTTCTCAAGCTGCCTTGATCTCCAAGGCACTACCCTGTGATGCTCAGCGGGGCCTTAGTTCAGCAGCAGCTGTCCCCTCCAGTTGCTGTCTCAGGAAGAAAGTGAGGAAAGGCCAAGTAGAGTGTACAGACCTCAGTCCTCTGCTGCTGGGATGGCTTTGGAAGACGGTATGTGTGGAAAGACGCCTGCTGGGATACGTGCCTGTCTTCCTGATTTTAAAAGTGGGGAACAACATGGGAACTCACAAGATGCATCCCTGGAAGCTCGGAAAAAGATGAAGTTCTTTGGAGAAGCAAGCTCATGAGGAGAAATCTGTATAGCAAATAATCAGGGAGGCCAAGAAGTCCTTGTATAGGTCCCTTTTCTGAAAACTAGAAATATTAATGCAGTAAATAGCCATGTGCTTACCTGGCTACAGAAGTGTTCATTTTGGGGTTGAGGATAGGAATAATTCACCTAATTTGGAACTCAAATCCACTTATAGAGATGTTCCCCTATCTCCCAGACTCAGTTAAAAAAGTAGAGGTTGAGGTTAAAAAAAA